AACCAATGTTATCCAGACACTTCAACATCATCAGTTTATTCGCTATAATTATAGAAAACGGTGATAAATATGAGCAGAACTCAGAGTTATGAGCTTTTGACTTTTAGACTATAGTGTCCTGATCACACGAGTGAACATCATCACATCTGATATCTGGAGTCTGGATGATGTGTGGTTCGACTCTATATTTAAAGATCGTCTCTGAATCATTGCATTTGGATGCACCAATCACACATCAGAGATCTTCAAAAGCGTGTGTGTGTGTGTGATGGAGCCTGTCTGGGAGCGACTCGCCGACACACACTTTACTTACAGGAAGTTTCCTGCACCATCGAGGGATCTGAGAGCATCCCGGAGACGCAAGAACAGAACCAGTCAACACACATGCAGCATGCAGTGAAGCGTGAGTGAGTGAGTGTGTGTGTGTGTGAGTGTGTGCTCACCTCGGTCATGGCGGGAGTGATGGTCGGCGCCGCGATGAACACGACGTACGGCGCAAACTCGGCGGTCCGCAGAACCTTCAGCGCCTGTGAACACAACGCAAGCTCGTCAGAAGCGCTCGGGGAGACAGCGGGAGGATCCGGGCCGGCCCGTACCTGCGGCTCCACGTCCAGGATCGCCACCAGGCCCTGCTCGTGGATCTGCCGGATCGTCTCCAGCCGCGTGCCGTACATGGCGTCCTCGTGGCTGCCGTACTCCAGGTAATCGTTGTTGGAGATGTCCTGCATCATCTGGTCATGTGACACGAAGAAGTAGTTCTTCCCGTTCTCCTCGTCCTTCTTCGGAGGTCTGGTCGTGTCTGTTGGGGAGAAGTGTGTGTGTGTGTGTGTGTGTGAGAGCGGTCAGTCGCACAGGAGGGTCATGCGGGTCAATCGTGTGAATGATGGAGCGAGTCTTACGTGGGATGGGATACGCGAATCTGTCGGGGTGTTTGGCGATGAGAGTGTTCTTGATGTGTCTCCGGCCGACTCCGTGAGCGCCTGCGGACACACACACACACACACACACACACACACACAATCTCTGAACACTCAAAACGTTCATTGTATCATTCTTCAAACACTCTGGGATCGTTACTTTTGACTGTTCTCTGAAACAAGTAGCAACCGTTCCCATGATCAATGCAGAAATCATGTTTTAGTGCTAATGATCACGTGACTGGAAGAACGTTCGTTCATCACTTGTTCTGAGAACACTGGAGGATGACTCTGAGTCTCTGGTGTGTCCGGTCTCTTACCCAGAAGCACCAGCGTTTTCCTCTTGAACGCGGGCAGCTTCACCACCTCCTCATACGTCACCAGATCTAGTTGGTCAAACACTGGAGGAAAGAGAGAGCTGGATCAGCGAGTGACGTGACACAGGAAATGATGTCACTCCATTCAAATGTGATGAGACATGCCGAGATGAATTAAAACGTTGTCTAATGTTGCGTGAGTCACATAAATGTTTTGACTGTTCGATTCTGTCCTCGTTCACTCGTCAGCGAGACGATTAGCAGAATGTTCATGCTGCTCTATTACGATGACCCCTGCAGATTACAGTGCAGCACTTCCTGTGTTTGAGCGAGTGAATGCTGACGAGTGATGGTTAGCGCTGCATGATTAATCCCAACTAACCCGCTTAAACCGGTTTGGCTAGCCTGCGGTTTTTATAATGTGCAGCGTGTCAGTGAAGTTCGGCCCCGTAATCGCGGCTCGCTCTGAAACACTGACGCGAGTTTGAGTCGCTTATAACGAACATTAGAAGAAGCAACACCCGTCAGACATCTTTCCAGACATGAGACGCATTTATGAACCTCTCGTCCAACAGAAGACAACATTCAATAACACACTTTACTGCACACACACTTCATCAGGACAGCTGACTGAGGTAATGTCGATTAGCACTGAAGTAGAAATATTGCTGGGCAACGATTAATCACATGCAAAATAAAAGTTTGTGTTTACATAATAAATATACTGTATGTGTGTGTACAGTGTGTGTATATTATTTTTTTGAAACCCTCTTTTCGTCCCATGTAAAATAACAGCATATACATGCAGATATTTCCTACAGATATACATGCATGCGTGTGTGTGTGTGTGTGTTTATACACATATAATCGTGATTAACCGTTGCCCTGCACTATTACAAACAGACTATCATCATGAAAATATGAAGGCTTATAGTGTTTATTAATGATGATTAATCAATGGACGTGTTCTGATCAGTGACGAGTAGCGGGTTCAGTCCCGATCAATCGTGCAGCTGTACTGGAGCGGCTGGAGCACACGACACACACCCGTCAGGAAGAGTCGACACACCCCTGATCGGGTCTTAGACTGACTGATCATGTGACGCTGTGATTCCAGTGCGGGAGATCAAACATGTGTAACGGTTCAGAGTCTGTAGCAAACATGCGCGTCACCGAGTGTGTGTTCAGATCTCTTCAGGTGTGTGGTGTGTGTTCCAGCCGGAAGTGTGTGTCCAGTCTCAGTCTGCAGTTCAACATGACACATGAGAGGAAAACACAAGCTCGTGTCAGTACTAGCTGATGTGGGTCACACACACACACACACATGAAAAACACAGCAACCGCTTGTTACTTAGCAAAGAGAAGACGATCCACACGATTAGTTACTTACATGCGGGGCCAGTAAAGGGAGACAGCGTGTAAAGTGGACAGGGGTCAGTTAAACACACATTACAGTACAGCACACACACACACATCAGGCTCTCCACACACAACTCAACAATATGACATCATCAGAGAAAACCAGCGCAACAACAGGGACACTTCGCCTCAGTTCTGCGGCGGCAATGACTTTAGAGTGTGTGTGTGTGTGTGTGAGTAAGTGAGTGTGTAAGTGAATGAGTGTGTGAGTAAGAGTGTGTGTTTCAGTAAGTGAGTGTGTGTGTGTGTGTGACGGCAGAAGCTCATTACCTGCGTTGTGTTTTGCTAAGTATTTGTCTTTGTACTGTTTCTTCTTCTTGCCGAACCACGTACAGCTCGCCTGCTGCTCCTGCTTGGTCTTCTCCATCGCCATACACGCCACACGCCTGAGGAACACACACACACACACACTCCATGAGCCGCAGCTGTGATGATGTGATGATGATGATGATGATGGTGTGTGTGTGTGTGTGTGTGTGTGTCTCACCACTCCTGCAGCTCTGGCGAGGGGATGAGTCCTGCTGTGCCGTTCTTGGTGTTCTCCAGTTTGCCCTGCCACCAGTTGTGGTCGTCTTTGCTGATGATCTGGATGATGTCACCGACCCGGAAGCGGATCCCGGCCTCTTTACAGGGAATCAGGTCGTCTTTAGCGGGATCGTACTCGAACTGCGCTCGCACGTAAATCTGAAAACATCAGTGTGACATTCATCCTAAACTTTTTTCCCCAATTATAATCATCATGAAACGTGTTCAACTGAACACACATCCTGTGAGGTTCTGAAAACACGTTACCATGGAAACGGTACTTTATGACATCAACTTCAAATATGGAACACAACTTGTTTTAGTTAGCAATTTTAGGGTCCACATTATTCAGTAAAATATATATTAGCATAACATTTAGCTTTACAGTTAAACTTCTTCATTTCATTCTGCAATCATCTTCAATAGAGAACCTTTGTTCTGTGAAGCATTGATGAACAGCCAGTTAACATCAGGTCTGAGATCAGTTCACAGGTCAAACAAGAACAGATTATAATTAGGGCTGTCAACCAACTGAACATCTGATGAATCAGGAAGATCATGACAGCATCACATGAGTAAATCAATCCATAGACTTTCAGCCACACAAAACACTGAAGATCAACCGACAGCCCTAGTTATAATGTTACGGCGTGTCACACACACACACACACACACACACACACAGTCAACCAATCAGATGTGAGCAAACCCCACTGACGGACAGCATGGGCGTGTCTAAGAAGCCAATCATCTGAGGGGGGAGGAGCCAATCGCACCACAGGAGGGTTAGTGTATGAACCGCCACTATGGGATGCTGGGAGTCTAAAGCACCAACTAGAGAAGCAAAGCCTGATGGGAGACTCAGAATCAAAGATGGGAAATGAATCTGGGTCTGTGGGTCGAGTGGAACTGCTCTACTGGGTCCGAGAAACTCACCTTGCGAAACATTTTATCCTTGACTGCAGGTCTGGAGATCTAAGGGTTTGAAAGCATCACACACACACACACACACACACACACACACACACATCATGCAGTAGAACAGACCTAACATGGACAGGAAATGGCAGGATGTTGCAGTCGGGTGAATCAAAGGCCAGTTCAGACCCAACACAAACACAAGGAAATATGCATTCAAACAAATCACCCGTGGAACAATAAAACCCTGACTGATGTTAAAGATCTGGTTTTCTGAAGCTGTCAGCAGCCAATCAGAGAGCAGGACTCATAGTCAGCAGAAAAAAACTCCAGAGATTCGCTTTCGTTCAGGCATGAGCGTTTCTCAGAGACAGTGTTGAGATGTACGGTTCGAGTCACATGGTCAGGTGGTTCTTGTGTGAACAGATCTCCAGGTCGAGCAGCTGAGACACACACACACACACACACACACACACACACACACACACACACACACACTTATGTGATCAGTAACACAGACTCTCACCTGTCTTCCTTTGGGCTGAATAGTTGATGGCAGATCCTGCATAGACAAGATTTCTTTATAAACTGTTCAATCACTAACTTTCAGTTTATAAATATAAATATTTTGGATAAACCGACGGCTTGGGGCGTTTTCACACTCGACTTGTTTGTTTCAGAACGTGGTGCGTTTTCTCCCTTAGTTCGGTGCGTTTAGGCATATATGAACACGGCGATCGCGCTCAGATTCACACCGCTTCGGTTGATCTGCGGTTGAGTTTAGGTGGAGTTTAGGTTGAGCTTTGGTTGAGGTTCGGTTGAATTTAGGTTGATCTGTGGTTGAGTTTAGGTGGAGTTTAGGTTGAGTTTAGGTTGATCTGCGGTTGAGTTTAGGTTGAGTTTAGGTTGAATTTAGGCTTCAGTTGAGCTTTGGTTAAATTTAGGTTGAGTTAGGTTGAATTTATGTTGAGGTTCGGTTGAGTTTAGGTTGTGTTTAGGTTGAGCTTCGGTTGAGTTTAGGTTGAGCTTCGGTTGAGCTTCGGTTGAGTTTAGGCTTCAGTTGTGTTTAGGTTGAGCTTCGGTTGAGTTTAGGTTGAGCTTCGGTTGAGCGTCGGTTGAGTTTAGGCTTCAGTTGAGCTTCGGTTGAGTTTAGGTTGAGCTTCGGTTGAGTTTAGGCTTCAGTTGTGTTTAGGTTGAGCTTCGGTTGAGTTTAGGTTGAGCTTCGGTTGAGTTTAGGCTTCAGTTGTGTTTAGGTTGAGCTTCGGTTGAGTTTAGGTTGAGCTTCGGTTGAGCGTCAGTTGAGTTTAGGCTTCAGTTGAGCTTCGGTTGAGTTTAGGTTGAGCTTCGGTTGAATTTAGGCTTCAGTTGAGCTTCGGTTAAATTTAGGTTGAGTTTAGGTTGAGCTTCGGTTGAATTTAGGTTGAGCTTCGGTTGAGATTAGGTTGAGTTTAGGTTGAGTTTAGGTTGAGCTTCGGTTGAGCTTCGGTTGAGCTTCGGTTGAATTTAGGTTGAGTTTAGGTTGAGCTTCGGTTGAGTTTAGGTTAAGCTTCGGTTGAATTTAGGTTGAGTTTAGGTTGAGCTTCGGTTGAGTTTAGGTTGAGCTTCGGTTGAGTTTAGGTTGAGCTTCGGTTGAGTTTAGGTTGAGTTTAGGTTGAGCTTCGGTTGAATTTAGGTTGAGCTTCGGTTGAGTTTAAGTTACTATAGATAAAGACACAATAAACTCGCGGGGAGAACTTGTCACTGACGCAGAGGAAACTGACCAATAAGAGCACAGTTTTACTCACATGTGACTTGCATAAACAGATTTTGGTACGCCTCGAGATGTTGCCTAGTGAAAGCGAACCAAACCGAGAAGAAAATGCAACATTGTAACAGATTAAATCCCTATTTGGGAGCAAATGATCTACAGGTCTGAAAACGCCCTCAAACGGTTAAAACATACAATAATGGGTTTCTTCACCCAAAAATGAAATGACTTTACGTTAGACTTTCATTCATGAAGATATTTCTAAATGAAAGTCTCTTCATCCAAAACTAAAAGGATGGTAAAATAAACCCATAAGAATGGAGCGGAGTTTAATCCAGATCTTCTGAAGAGACACGATCAACAGTTCTGACTTATGCTTTTGTTCACATATAAACATTGATCAGATTATGGGTTTGTAGCGACAACTAACGGATTATAGATTTCATTTTTGGGTGACCTTTCCCTTTAACATCACAGTGTTTACAATCCACAGTACTGCAAGAAAAGAGTCTAAGCTTTCATCTAACCATATGAACCCATAATGCATTGTGCTGTGGTTTTGTAGGACTCTCTGTAGACTGTTGTCTTACTAAGATGGAGCTGGTGACGCTAGAGTGTCCGTTGGCAGGAGACTGTCTGGACAGATCCGGGGAATCTTTCTGAAACGCCACAGAAACACAGGAAGACGAGTCAAACACACACTGCTGGTGTTCCGGGAGTGGCCAGAAGGTGGCGCTCTGGGGTCACTTACATCACAGGACAGAGACTGGCTGCGGTAACTGGGCACGATTTTAAAGGTGATGCTGCCACGCATCTCACGCTGTGAGAAAACACACACACACACACAAATACATGACTACACAGTAACCAGACACAACATACATGTGTGTGAGAGTGTGAGTTTAAGTTTAGTTTAACTGGAAAAACACAGAGGGTTTCCTGCCAGGGTTGATGTGTGGCTTAGGATTAGGTTAGAGAATATGCCCTCATTTAGAGAACTGAACATAAGATGAAAAATGGATCAAAATCAAGTGACTTTACGCTTAAAACAAGAAGAAAGTATGTTGGTGGGGTCAGAAAAATAATCTTGGTTTCAATTTTTGAATTCAGTTTATTTTTCTGACTCATTATCGGATATTTGATCTTGTTTTCATTTTCAGTAATCAGGTTTTAATATCTTCCGTCTCTTGTTCTGCAGTGAAAGTGTCCTGATTTAAGAGTGTTTAGATGATGTTTGGCAGTGCAGGAGGACCGGAGGAATTGAACTGGTAAAGCGGACCACAGGTTTACTCAGACCGTCCCAGCAGTGACTCAGTGTTGGCTCTGGTTTGTGTGTGTGTGATGGTGTTTCTCACACACACACCAGCATCTTCTGCAGCTGCTCCACCGTCTGATTGGCCACGCTGATGCCGTTGATCTCACGGATCTCGTCTCCAACATGCAGCGTCCCTGAAGAACACAGCGTAGGTGAGCACGGCGTCACACACACATGCACACGCACACACACACACACACACACACCTTGTCTGTGGATCATCCCTCCATGCATGATTCTGGCCACAATGCAGTGGTTCAGATCGTTCATCTTCAGAGTGATTCCCTGCCAACACACAAAACAAACCTGATGTTATCGATGCACATCCGTCTGAACAGCTTCATATCACACACATCTGACGCACACACACACACACACACGCGCACACACACGCTAATGGTGTCGTTTGAACCGACACTGAATTGATGGTTATATTTCAGGACTCCCACTCCATTAACGGTTTATCCACTGGAATCAATGAAATCAGAGTTTCGGAATGGATGCGTTTGACTGATTTATTTCCTTTTATTATTAGTAATTTTGTGTACATGCATTTACTTTTATATAGTACATTTATTTTTAATGCTATATTTTCATTATCTCTCTCTCACATTATGTTCCAGTTTATTACTGTGAACGTTCTGTGTTGAATAAAGAGCTGACAGACTCTTTCTGTTTTGTAAAGATCAATAAATAATGTAAAAAATGTATTTAGAAACGTTAACAAGGTTGCAAAAGCAAAGCTCATAAACAATAGTTGGAGACGCTGGTCAGTTCTCATTTCTAGGTGAATTTATATGCATTATAGGTGATTTATTTTCATACATTTGTGTTGTCTCAATTTTTCACTCTACCTTTTATTATCTTTGACGTTTATTTGTGTCTGTCAGATACTGTATCACTGTTTTCTCAAAACATATCTCTCACTCTAAATATATAATGCAAAAGAAAAATTTAATGAAATTTTAGCTTGAAAAGCTCATATGTCACATTATAGTTTATTTGAAATCAAAAATTAAGTTTGAGCTGTAAAACACTGGCCTCTCGTCTCAAGGTTTAGTTTTTGGGCCTGTTAACGGAACCTAAGATGGTCACATGACGAGTGTGTGGTTTGCTCAGCTCTAGCGCTGGTACCATGGGCTCGTCCGTGTTCTTCTGGAACTGCACGAGCCGCACGCGGGTCACGTTCTCCAGGTCCAGGTCCCCGTTGATGCTCTCGGGAGAGTCTCCGTTCAGGTACGGGGAAGTCGGAGGAGGCGTGACTCTCAGAGCCTCGTCACTGTACACCTCGTGAGCGACAACATCATGAGTCTGTAGAAGAGCCTGCGAGAGAACACACACCGGGACATCATCAGTGTGTGTGTGTGTGTGTGTGTGTGACTCTCTTTACTGTAACTCACACCGTGCTGTTGCACTACTGTAATAAAAGGAAATGCCTTAAATTGCTTCATACACAGATGTAGTTTTCTGAACGCTTCCATTTTTGTAAAAGGATGTGTTACAGAGACAGTAATCAGTACTTCCCGGTTTGGAAATGTTGTTTCGAATTTATTTCCCCAGTGTGTATGACTGTGTGGGCGTGTGTGTGTGCTGTCTGAGGGCCAGGTTTGGTTTATCAGCGAGAGTGAACGGTTCATTATGTCCTGACAGGATGTTTGGGGAACTGGGTGAGAACTTTGTGTTTTTTGTTTTTTGTGATTTGTGTTTACTGGTTTGAGAATATGACCCATAGCTTCAAGAAATGTGTTTAAAGCAATCGATAAAAACAGTAATATCACACAAGCACTTTAGTAAAGTCTATTAGTATACATCATGCTAGTGGATTTTAATAATACATGTCTGGTTTGAGTTTCATGACTGTATTCCAGTAATAAGAGCTTAACGTTTAAACGGGAAATAATGAGAAAACACAAGATCCAGTGAGTTATCACCTGATTCTGGAGTGAAACATGACCTGGAGCTTCTGTGACAGTGACCCGCACACATGAGTGTGAAGCGGTGTGTGTGTGTGTGAAGCGGTGTGTGTGTGTGTGAAGCGGTGTGTGTGTGTGTGAAGCGGTGTGTGTGTGTGTGTGTGAGCTGGACAGTGCTGTGCTTCAGAGTCCGGCGCTCGACTCACCATGAAGTGCGGCTGCGTGAGGATCCTCTTCAGCTCTTTGGCCTCCATGTTCTCCGAGTAACAGGAGAGCGTCTCCAGCACCTGCGGACACACACACAAGCACACACACACACGATCTCAGTGCAAATAAACACTACATTTAAATATGAGCTGCACAGATGGAAGCGCCACCAGGGTTTGAAATGAACTTTTCCACTCACCGGCCAGTTTGGCTCCTGAGCTTTTAAGTTTGCGCCGTTCAGAACTTCTACTAGCCAAAACAAACTGAACTAAAGCTAGCTTCAACTTTCAGTTTTAGCGGAGTTCAAGCATTTAAGGCCTTTAAGCACAAAAGCACTACAGACATTAAGTTTTATTTAGCAAACATTTAACCACTGACATAATAGCCGTTATTTGTTGTGTAGTGACATGTGTGTGTGTGTGTGTGTGTGTGTGTTGGGCCGTGATTGGGCACTTTCCACCGTGATTACACAACGCCTGGCGCGTCGCAGACCAACACTAGGCTCAGTGCACGAAGACTGCCGACGTACGTCAGCCGGCCTCTTCACCTCCTCCGCGCAGCGCTCTATAGCGAAGTGTACTAGTGTGTGTGTGTGTGTGAGTGAGAGTGCGTCACACACACCTCTTTGGCTCTCTGGACGGCGTCGCTGGGAGGATTCCTGATCTGAGGCGACGAGCGGGTGTTGATCTTATCATACAGCTGAAACACAGTCAGTTCACTTCATCAGTCACATCAAACACACATCAATCTCTCACACACACTCAAAATAAAGAGTGGAAATCATGTGACAAACACGTTTATAAACTAATCCTGCATATTGTTTGTCTGTTTAGTTATTAATCATCCATTAAATTACAGTAAGTTTGATCGGCAGTGGCGTGTGTATCAGACTCATGAATCCTGTCATGTAGTGACACACACACACACACTCTACCCACTGTCTAGACGCTAGTCAAATGTGGCGTGTTCAAAACACCCGCTGTGCGCAGCTGACGGCTCGACTTTACTTTCCATCATCATCATCATCATCATCATCATCATGATGTCACAGGCGTCTGTAAAACCCTGCAGGACCGTCTGGTTCTCCAGATTCAGTGATGAGTATGAGTGTGTGGATGTGTGTGTGTGTGTGTGTGTGTGTATACTCACATCCAGCAGTGTGTGCAGATGTTGGTCCTGGAAGACGCTGTGCAGGAAGTCCAGATCTTTCTCACTGCAGTCCGTCAGTGCATGAATCTCCTCCAGACT